GCGGATCTGGTCTATGCCTCCGCCGCCAACCAAGATTCGGCTGCGGAGGGTAGGGAGAGCGGCGCCTCGCAATACCGGCACTCCTCTCCCCCCGCAGTCCCACCGCCACCGCATCAATTAACGGTGCGGCCCCGTCTGAGTCGCGGAGGATAGGGCGAGTGGCGCATCGCCATACCAACACTCCTCTTCCTCCGCGACTCCACCTCAGCTGCAGCGATAGAGGGAGCGGACACCCCTCTCACCGCAGCCCACCGACACACGTCCGAAGTGGGCTCGCCAAGCCCACTCGGAGTGGCCACCTCGGGCCGGCCCTACACCACGGGCCAGCCAAGGGGTTCCTCTTTGTTCACCGTGGGTGACCAAGCCACGGCTACTAAGCTCCCCCGCCACGACAAGGCGAGAACCCGTTCGGGGGGAATTGTGACTAACCTAACCTAACCTAAATGCCTATCCAGTTACCCAATAAACACCACCTGTGAGATTGGCATTGGCTTATGAGGCATTTCTGCCGAATCGGAAGTGACCCTCTTTAGGGAAAAGGGGGTGCAGGCGGCGATGAGCCACTGAGGGGGAGCCTAACTAAGGCAAATTAAGTAGAGTCGGCCTGAGCCGCCAGGAGGCAGTTCAGGTCAGCCGAAAGCTTGTTTGGCGGGTCCGAGAGAGAGTTTCTCGGTCTTCGGACTCGATGGCGAGAGGGGAGTGGGGCTGCATAGGAAGCTGTCTCACGAATGAAGTGATTAGAGTCAGACTCTGAGGCTTTGAAGAAGTTCTCAGAGAGTGTTTTCAGAAATTGCTGGTCTGTGGGGAGCTCTAAGTCTCGATGGAGGTCGGCGTTACGTACGTACCAGGGTTTGTTCGTAGCTCGACGACAGAAAAGGTTTTGAACTACTTGGAGTTCGTTAATGATTTTGGGATTAGCGTGGGCAAATATGGGGCCCACGTAAGTCATGACTGGTCGTATACAGACCTTATAAAGGGTTCGCTTGTTGTGGAGGGACATTTTACTGTGACGGCCCAGCATACTGTTGAGCCCACTCAGATAGAAACATGCGTTGCGGGTTACTCTTTTGACATGGGGCCCGAAGGTAAGCCTCGTGTCAAGGGTGACACATAAATATTTGGCGGTCGTATGCCAGGGGACAGGGGTCCCTAGCATACCGATAGACGGAATGTTAGTGAGGCGGCGTCGTTTATGATCAAAGTGAATGGCGGAGCTCTTCTCCGGGTTCACATCAATGCGCCGTTTTTGGAACCAAGCTCCTAAGTCATCAACTGATCAACGACAACTGAGGATCTTGTTTTGTATGAAAGGTAGTGAGATACCTTTACAAAAGAGGGCAGTGTCATCTGGGAAGAGGGAGAGCTGAACACCTTTCGACGGGATGGGAATGTCGTTGGTGAACAGGATATATAGAAGAGGGGCAAGCACTGAGCCCTGCGGGACATCGGCTTTGATAGGATGCTGAGAGGAGAGCGTGCCTTCGTGTCTAAAACAAAAGGTACGATTCTTCAGGTAGGGAGACCACGAGACGAACAAGACGATCAGGGAGGCCTATTCTGTAGAGTTTATAGATAAGGCCTTCGTGCCAGACTCTATCAAACGCTTTTGCAATGTCGAAAAAGACCGCGATGGTCTTATGACGACGAGGATAGAAACCGCCGATGATATATTCTACAATACGGTGAGCTTGTTGGGGACAAAAATGTTTTTTTTTTTTGAAAATGTTACCCCTCCACTAGGATTTTCTCCTGTGTCGTGAAGGCAGTTTACAAACATAAATTGCACAAGGACAAACATCCAGACCCGGAACAATTATTTGTAGGTCATACAAATACTTGTTCCGTGCGGGATTTGAACCCGCGGCCCCCAGCGCAACAACTGATTGCTAAGCCACTGCGCCACGGAGCCGTCAAAGCCGTCGTTTCGCTCGGAAACCAAATTGGTGGGGGATGACAAGAGGATCGCCCTCTGTAGGAAACAGATGGAGCCTCATGCGAGTAAGGATGACTCGTTCGAAGAGTTTGCCCATGGCCTTGAGGAGACTGATAGGACGATGACTGGAGGGGAGATTATGAAGCTTTCCTGGCTTAGGGATACCAATGACAGTTGCCTCTTTCCACGTGGTGGGAAAGTAACTAAGGTTGAAGCAGGCGTTGAAGATAATAGCTAAAAGGGTTAACACATGCTATTTGGGCCTCAGTCCTTTGATGAGGTATGAGATCTCATCATTGGACACAGTGATAGGTTCAGAGGCAGTGGGTGTGAGTTTCGGCGGCGGACCTCATCCTCCACTGTCTGGATGTGGAAGGGTCCGTGGGTTGAGAGCTAGGAGAGCATTGTGCGGCAATGCTGTCAGCAAAGCACTTAGCCTTTTCCTCGTCCTCGAAAGCAATGGTACCGTCGGGACGGGAGAGAGGGGGTGTGTGGGTGATAGCGTCTATGTGGAGGGCTCTCGCCATCTGATAGTACGCTGTATGAGAGGGAGAGATATTCTCCATGAGCTTACTCTTTTCGAGGTCTCGAAGTTCGGAGATGCGCAAACGGACTTCTCGTTGAAGGCGATTGACCGTACGCCTATAGTCAGGAGTGGGATAGATTGCTGCTCTCCGGAAAGCAGCTCTCTTGGCTTTCATTAGGTTGCTAATATGTAGTGGAAGACCAACATTATTAGCAACCGGGACGACCCTTTCATTCTCCCTATGGGAGGATTTTATAAGGGTGGGGAGAGAATCGACTGCAGTATCGAAATTTTCGGTGCTGTCGAAGTCCGACGAGAGGGAGATGGGGGAGTCCTGTGAGTCCATAGCTTTAGCTAGGGACTCCTTGAAGCCCATCCGGTTAGTGAAAGTTTTCGTGGAGAGGCTTGAGGGAGATGGCTGATGGCCAAGAATGAGGGAGATCGGTCGGTGGTCGGATCCTAAATCGTCTAGAGTCTCAATTTCCCTGAGGTTGAGGGAAACTCTCGCCTTTGCAGAGGTCTCTCGTTAGGAAGAAGAGATTGCTGCTCCTGTATTATTGTTATATAATGGTTTGAAGTGGATTTTGATCCGTAAAAGTGGTGCGATTTTGTGTATTAAATGTCTGCGCATGTAAACTATTAGTGGAAGTGGTGAAACAAGTACTCTGATCGTGATGTGATTATCAAGATAAGGTGTCTGTCTGCTTAGGCGCCTTGAGATACAATGGTATCTCAAGGCGCCTAAGCAGACAGACACCTTATCTTGATAATCACATCACTTGAGCCAGCAGACAGCTGACAGTTGGCAATGGCCAACTGTCAGCTGTCTGCTGGCTCAAGTTAAGCAGTGTACTATGAAGGATAAGTATACATTGTAACTTCAGGCTCAGAAGGGCAAGAACCTAGAGCCGTAAAGCCAGTTATAAAAAAAATGTGGTCTGTGTTTGTCAGTGCTGCCAAGCCTGAGAATTTTCCCCTAAATTTAGTAGATGGCTTTGTGGAAATTCTATGAGATTTACTGTATTATTTAAGTTGAAAAAACGAAAGAAGAACGATTTAAGTTCAAAACAGAAACTAAAAAGTTTATTAATGAACTACCAATTACAATTAAAAACATGTAAATAGATGATTAAAAAAAATTGCTTTTAAAAAATGTTGTAGTTCAGAAATGTATAATAACGTCGAAGGGAATCTGCTATCAATATTTTATCAAAGTTTAAAACAATGTTTTAAAAATCATAAAAGATTTTAATTAATAAATTATTTATTAATAATAATATCTTTTTAATTATATTAAGTTTCTTATAAAAATATACTTTTTATATTTTTCTATCACCTGTACTAACCAATATTTTTTTAGGAAAAATATTTTATCTAGCAAAACAATAAGAGTTTAGTGTATAGTAATTTTTATGAAAAATTATGCCAAAATTTGTACCTTAAGTTTTTTTTTTCTTGTACCAATTTTTTACTTATTTTTGTATAATTTATTTAATAAAAAAAAGAATTGGAGAAGTTAACAGACGTCTGAAAATTTCAAACTCATTCGATGTAGACGATTTTGTTTCAATCTAGGGGATTTTAAGAGTGCGTTTACGGGAAAGTGGATGAGTCTGGCAATACTGGCTTTGTTCTATGTAAATATGGGTTAATACCGATATTTGTCAGTATTAGTTAATATGAATATATTCGTCAAGTGATATTATAATATTTAAACTAATATATGAATATTACTGATATCTTAATATAACGATTATACGTATCACTTTTCTATTCATGTAGGTTATAAGTTTATTTTACCAAGCATAATTTATCACAATAAATAAATTTAAATATACACTATTAAAAAAACTACTAGAGTCAATAAATTTTAAACATCTATAAAGTGTTTTATTTGTAAAGTGCCGCTGCTGGTTGCCGTGATATAAAATATCGAATTGAAAATAGTCCCTAAGAACTATAAAATAGAGAATGAATACCCGTCAAACGCTCATATCGGTTGATTCATTTGATCATTCGGCTAGCTCGCTTGCACCGCTATACTTACGATACGAATGATACAGATATCCGTCACGAATATAAGCAGTCGGGTCGAGCCGAGTGATATTATCCAACCGATGTTGAACAGTTATAATATAGTGTATAAATGAAGTGAATATGGAATATTAGCATATCAGAATCCGTTGGATTACTGATCTATGAATCCACCCAATATTACCAATATCTTAACGAATACGAATATATCGGTTACATCTTTAGTTCTATGATTCTATCTATGTCTATGGGTGTCTGATGTTTGTCACAAATTTTAGTTGTTTTGTATAATATTTATTGTGAATTGTAAAGGTAGGAATTGAATTTTTGGATAAGTTGGTTTTAGCTTAGTAATTTTTATTGTATGGTAAATTACATAATAATTTATATCGGAACATTTCTTCTAAAAACGCCCATGTTTTATTTTATTGACAATTCATTCTATCGTTATTTTGGAAAAAAAATGGCGCCTCCTCAATTTTTTGAATATTATAATTTCTGTTTTAGATGCCACAAATTAAGCTTCAATCATCTGACAATGAGATTTTTGATGTTGATGTGGAAATAGCAAAATGTTCGGTAACGATTAAAACGATGTTAGAAGATTTAGGTATGGATGATGACGAAGAAGAAGTTGTACCATTACCAAACGTGAATTCTGCTATTCTAAAAAAGGTTATTCAGTGGGCTACTTATCACAAAGATGATCCGCCCCTACCTGAAGATGATGAAAACAAAGAAAAACGAACTGATGATATTTCCTCTTGGGATGCCGATTTTCTTAAAGTAGATCAAGGCACTTTATTTGAATTAATTTTAGCAGCTAACTATCTCGACATTAAAGGCTTATTGGATGTGACCTGTAAAACAGTAGCGAATATGATTAAAGGCAAAACGCCTGAAGAAATCCGTAAAACATTTAACATTAAGAATGATTTCACAGCTGCTGAAGAAGAGCAAGTTCGTAAGGAAAATGAATGGTGCGAAGAAAAGTAAACCGTAAATAATTTATTTATACTTATCATTCTAAATTACATCTAGGTTATTGTTTGTCATCCGACTCATTTAATTAAAACTAAACAACAACAAAGTAATTGTTGATATTATTTTTCTCATATCAATAACATTTGATTATTATCTATCCATCTTACAAGCCGAATATTTGCAAAAGTTCTTGTGGATATAAAATCATGTCTTAATCATTTTGGCTCTGATATGTAATTACTCTACCCTTCACAAATGAAATGCAATATTTTATTTGATTATATGCTATGTAAAGACTCAGCAGTTTATTATTAAAAGTTTAAGTAATAAATGTTTTATTAATTCATTAATGTTCTTCTGATATAAGATTTTTTATATTTTAGTGATTTTTATAATATAGGTGTGACAAATGAGCACACAGTCAGCCTCATGGTAAGTGGAAGTTGTGGCACATAGACAACTATCCTCAATTAAAATTCAAATTGCAGATGCTTAAGGACTTAAATGGAATGCCTTGTTTCCAGTAAAAAGGGTCTCCGGTTCTCCTCACTGACCATACAAAACAGCAGCATTAAGCTCTAAAATTCACCGATGTTTTGTGAGTGTGATCTTTTCCTGGTCAAGCTTACCTATTTGTGTTATAATTATCCTATAGACCATGGCATGGACAGTACAATTACACAGACTGTGAGGTTATCTATGTTAGTTCTCAGAGGTGACAATGCATCTGTAGAAACTTTGTTTGAAGTTGGCCGCAGGTGTCCATGAACTGCAGTAGCTACTTACCGTCAGATAGGCTGTAGTTCGTTTGTCACTTCAGCTTTATATAAAAATATTAGACTGCAGTGTAGCAGTATAATTACAGACTAAGTGGTTATGTATCTTAGTTCTCAGAGGTGACAACGCATCTGTAGCCTTCTTTGTTTGAAGTCGGCTGCAGGTGTCCATGGACTGCAGTAGCCACGTACCATCAGATAGGCACTTCAGCTTTATATAAAATAATAGTATGGTAATAGATGGTAAGTTTTTTCTTACTTACTTATCTTCACACACAATACCTGACGGGGTAGCCAGAGAGAACAGATCGCCAAGTGTCACGATCCTTACATACCTCTTTCGCTTCTTTCAGATTCATTATCTTCTTCATACATGCACGTCTAGGTATCCGAGTACTCTTGACCCTCCCCTCTTCGAGCAATTTGCTCACATGGTCTTCGAAAGTTTGTCTTGGTCTACCTCGACACCTTTTAATGTTTACTTTCGTGCAATATATTTTCTTCACCATTCGGTCTTCACTCATTCGCTCAACGTGCCCAAACCATCGAAGCACGCCCTTATCAATTTTTGTGATAAGGTCATCTTTCAAAGCTGCCATATTGCGAAGCGAATCGTAACGCCGCACATTTTACGAAGAGATCGCATCTCCACTGCATTCAACTTACTTTTATGCTTCTTCTGGCATACCCAGGTTTCACTGCCATATAACAGTCGGTACCAACACTGCGTTATGTATTGCGAGGCGTGCATTCTTCACTACGCCTTGCCTTTTGACTAACGCAGTAAGGCACCATTAACTTTGTTCCCGGTAGCGACACGCCTGTCTACATCTAAATCACATCTTCCATCATGGGCTGAAAGCACTCCCCAAGTATACAATTTCATTTACCTGTTCTAGACATTCCTGATTTACCCATATTTCACACTTCGTTCTCTCTTCGTACCTTTCAAATACCAGAACCTTAGTTTTATTAGCATTCAAACGGAGACCTTTAATTTCACATTCCTCTTTCATACACGTGACTAATGCCTGCAGTTCTGCCTCTGATGGTGGAATAAGCACTGCATCATCAGCATACAGCAGACAATTTACTTTAATGTCACCCAATTTCTCAGCTTCTGTAAACAGCTGTCGAGATACAGTATGAACAGCCAGGAAGACATGACACAACCCTGTTTTACGCCCGTTTGAACGCTAAACATGGGTGACAGGTCATGCCCTACCCGCACACAGGCTTTACATTCACAGTAAAGTGACTACACAGCCCTTAGCAATCGACCATCCACACCTTACCCCGGCAACAGTTCCCACGTTTTCTTCCTTACAACCTTATCAAATGCTTTCTCAAGATCCACAAACGCACAGAAAATCTTCTGGTTAGCAGCCAGAAGCTTCTCCGTGATCATGCGGAGAGAAAACATTTGATCCGTGCATACTCTTCCAGGTCTAAATCCGCATTGTTCGATTTCTCTTGCATCCTACGTCTCAAAACCTTCGAGTAAACTTTACTTGCTAAACTGGTCAAGCTGATCGCCCGATAGCACCCAAATAAGTTTTTTCAATTACAATAATGCGCATTTCAAAGTTACAGTAAAGCGCCTGATAAATTGTGTTAGTGTGATTCAGTAATATTCATTCTAGGCGTTACAGCGTTTATACGACCCACTCTTGGGCATAGGCTTTCATTTCTGAGATGCTTATGAACAATATGTGCGAAGCGCTGCTCGATTGCGTGTTGCCGGACTTCACAACACGTCCTCGGAATATTTTATTCCACAGACATGCAGAGTGTAGGTCGACGAACACGTAATAAATCAACATTTAAAATTGCAATAAACAATGTCATACCTTTCAGCAAAATAAGACCGTGAAGTAATTTCACTTTTTTCATCACAGCATCCACTTACTATTAGACTATTGGAGTTATTCGATTAGAGCAGCGGGGTATTAGCTACCGCCGTATCAATGATACGGGACTCCCGGGCTGCAGTGGCCCCGAACGTATGTAAGTAAAAATTCTAAGGACTTCTATGGGACAGGATGTTGGTTTGAATTGTTTGACTAGCTTAGTTCCCAGGAGAATTAATTGTAATAATAACTTATAATCAATATATAATTAAACCTTATTTATACATCCATGATTTAACGTTACTTTTCACTAACAATTTCGTAACTTTTCGTTATGTTACGAAATTGTATAGTCTTAAGTAACGTATACACTGGTGTAGTAGTGATAAGAATTACTACGTAGGTGAGTAAATTAAGCCCTTTATATTTAAATTAAGCACATTATAAGAAAAATTCTTGTGTCTTATAAGAAATTCAGTCGCATTGGTTGTTATATGAGACCACTCTTAAATTTTTTTTTCTTATGTCGCATCAGACACTCGCATTCTAGTCATTTTGTTGGCTGCACGTTCGTTGTCGCTCCTATACAAGACGTCATGCTTAGACACGACGTCTACTCAACTATGTAAAAGGTGAGTTGATGAAAATTAATGAGATAGAGGAAGAGTTACAGATTAAGAATGATAAAGAGCAGGATGAAATTCAGATTAGTGAGACAGATAAAGAGGTACTAGCAAATAAGGGTAATAGAGAGGAAGAAATACAGATTTATGATTTACAGAAAGAGCCAGAGATGAGTAATGAAGGAAAGGGAACAAAGCGGTAATACTCTGATACTGCGGAGAATGAAATATTTAATATAGAAGATACTGTACTGTTATGAAATTATATATAGGACGTTCTTGGAAATATTATGTTGGCATAATTGAACATATCAATGTAGCAGAAACATTATACACTATTTTTTTTTAAATATCGGTAAAAAAGACAAATCAAAGTTCCGTAAAACAATCCGTGAGGATAAGGACACGGTGCCCAAAGATTTAATTGTAAAACATTAAAATACTTCAAATATCGGAAAACCCCGTTGAATATGTATTGCGACGAAGATCTCATTTATTTTTAATAATATTTAGTAAAAATTTTGATAAATTTAAATAAAAAGAGTATAATTAATCAAGTAACGGTGTTTTATTGATAATTTGGGAATTATGTTGGTAGAGTCGTAATTCACACACATACATATAATGTCACTTGACCACAAACTGACAATATAATTCTAGGAGTATTTATCCCAACCCTTTTTTACTATACTTAGTAGGGTAATCAGTAATTCGAAATAGTTCAGTAGTCAGTGTACACGTGGCTTAATAGTTACAATTTAGTAACAATTACAACGTTTTCGTTACTTTTTTCGTAACTACAACTTCGATACGTACAATTATTTTGAAAAACACCTATATAGAAGAGGGGGACAAACGAGCATGCGGCTCACCTGATGGCAAGTGTCTACTACCGTCTATTAACAAATACAACACCGGAGGAATTGTAGGCGCGTTGCCGGCTTTTTAAAAAGGAGTAAGCTCGTTTCTTGAAGGTCCCTAAGTCGTATCGGTCCGAAAAAATCGCTGGTGGTAAACGATTACTTAAAGAAGGAAGAGAACTCCTAGAAAATCGGACAGTAGTGGACCGCCAAACATCCCGATGATGTGGATTTGTGAAATGCGTTGATAAAATTTTGTGGCTGGAATTAATCCGAACAATTCCTCTGAACACTCCCCGTGGTAAATAAGATAGAAAATGTAAAGGGATATAGCACCTCTTCGTATCGTCTTTCGTCTTCGTTGGTCGTCGACGATTCGAGCCGCTCTGCGCTGGATGCGGGCAAGTGGAAGGAGCTGGTACTAGGGAGCCCCGGCCCAGGGAAGAGAACAGTATTCCATGTTAGGCCGAACCTGCCCCTTGTAAAGTTGCAAGCAGTGTGCATAAAATACTGTTCCGGCAAACTTATCCGGCAAAGACTCGACTTCAGACACAAGTTTGTTCCGGTATTCGGCGACGTTTTCTCGAGAAATTTAGGCACAGTCAGTGTATAAAGCATCACCAGTGCACGGTACTGGCTTGCAACATATTAATGATAGAGAAAAAGAAACAGCGTAGGTAATAGCACGTAGCCTTGGTGAACACCGCCATAAATGCGCTTGTAAATGGAGCACGCACCTTCTACTACGACTTTGTTGCTCCAATCTGCAAGAAAACTGCTGATCCAGTTGCACGAATTCTCGGGAAGCCCATAGGAAGGGAGCTTCAAAAGAAGCGCTTTGTGCCAAACCTGATCGAAGGTCTACGCTATGTCCAAACTAACGGCTAGGATCTCCCTCTCTGACTCCGCCGATTTATAATTCTGGTAAGACAGAAGATTACCAGCTGAGCAACCCGACGGAAATCGTACTGGCGGTTACTTTTCAGTTGGTGATCCTCAACTTCATGAGCTGGCAGTTCACAATGGTTTTCATTATTTTGGTAGTTGGTAGTATGCGCACCTAGCGCTGTGTAAATCGTATCGTACTGACTTGAAGGCGAAATTATACATCTTTTTAAAGTGAGGTTGTTATAAACTAATTAGCTTAATTCCGCGTAAAGAAAGAAAATGATGTGTCCTGCCCAGTTTTAAGGGGACCTCCCACCCTCCCTCAATCTCGCGCACTCTCGCGCGCGCGTGTCCGCTCTGGACATGGACTTCTCACATTTGAGGGCGGACTTTGGCTTACTGACGCCAGTCTGAGTAATTTTTTTGACTAATGGAATCTTTCACTCTGACGCTACGCTGTTTTTTAAATAAACATGTTAATGGTTGCTTAACTAATTTCACTCATGTATGAGAGTTGCATTTTTATCATTTATTACTTCGCCCACTCGTTTGACGAAGAATCAAAATCAGTTCTGCTGTCTTTCAGTGAACCCTTAGACTGTTTTTTATTTAAACCACAGAATAAATAATAGTGCCTGCAAGAATTTAAACTTTAACTTTATCGTAATTGGCAAAGTTTTACATTGTACAACTCCATTTTTTACATTTCTGATTGCTGATGACCTCAAATTGGAAAGAATAATAATTGATACTCATGTGATAGATTACGAGTTTGGTGCAAAAAATATGATTTGAAATACCAATTGCTTTTTCCATATCTAGGTAATAAATAAAACTGATGTGTCTCTTTGGTAATGTTAAAATAACAGCATTTGCAGCTACATAAGAAGGTAGATACGGTACTAGTAACAAAAAAAAATTTAAAAAATTTTGTCTATCTGTTTCTTTCGGCTAATCTCCGAAACGGCTGGACCGATTTTGACGGGACTTTCACTGGCAGATAGCTGATGTTATTAGGAGTAACATAGGATACGAGTATCTTGGTGAATAGCACCAATCAAATTTGCAGTGCTTGATAGCTTAGAATACTATAGTTCTGTTTAGAAACCCCATTACCTACCCAACGTAGCTATTCTGAATTTGGAATGTTTGCAAAAACGATTAATTATGGCAGTTTTTATTGAATAGGTACATGACTTTTGGCAAAAAATTCCTGCCTACGGTGGAAGACTTAAAAGTTAAAGTTACAGATTAACTACTACAATGGAACTAAATACAATGGCCAGAACAATTAGGCACATGGCAGGACTGCTGTTTTGGCGACCGCACCCCGCCTCTGTCCCCGCACTTTCCCTAGTGATCAGTTACCGTTCCGGTGTTCCCTCCCTAGTTCTAACGACGTCTTAGGTGTCATGTGCCTAATTGTTTTGGTCACGTGGTACGTCTTACTGCTGGGCACAGGCCTCTCATTTCTGAGGTTTTGGGGCAGGAGGAAAGGTTGCTTTATGGTTCCTTACATCCTTTCCTGCACCAAAAAGCCCTTTTTCTTACTTCTCAAAACACAATTTTACTAAACTAATTAAAAAATCCTAAGTAGGTATCTATTTATTTCAACGCAAATGACGCGTGCTTGTAATGGCACGTAGTACTATTTTTTATTCTGTGGTAATGGGTTAAACATTTAGATGTACCTACATAGGTATTTTTAAGTAGTTGTATATGATGTATTAACTGGTGATGTACCAAATAAAATTAAAAAAGAAACTGATCCTGAACTGATCTCAGTGGTAATTAAGGTTCATATTGGTAATCATGTTGGTTACGAAAATACCTATACCTACGAGTTACGAGTGCATTCTTTCTTGCCTTGAAAAATATTAAATTGTACTGGTTTAAGAAGACTGATACAGGTAAAGAATTCTAATCCAACTACGTGGCGTGTAAGCACAGAACACTATTACGGTGTAAGGGATTGGATAAAATCTAACCTTACTTTCGTATGTAATGAAAAAAACTAAAATATATTTTTTTTTATTTATATTTTATTAATATTGTATAAAGTTACATAAACTTAAATAGTAAATTAATATCAATTATATATTTTAAGCACCTATTTTAAGAATGAATTAAATGTAAAATTAAGGCTATGCAATACAGCGGAAGGATTTATCAATCGGAAAAGTGTCTGGTGTAAATAAATTATCTAAGCATGTAAATATGATACTGTTAAACTTCCCATGTTGGGATTTACACGAAGCTCCACCTAAGAGCACTCCAAACAGGAAAGCTAAGAATACTAAAATAATAAATGCGTATTCATATTTGTTTACATTCAAAATGGATTCTTTGCAAAAGCATAAAACGTCGTAAGGTGACCTGAAAGAGAATAAGAAATTAATGTAAAGACAATGAGTATACCCAACCAAAAAATAAACTCTCAGACTCAGTAACGAAATGGATAGTAGATTTTTTTTTTGGACATACCTATTGAATTACACAACAATATAGGAGTGTATAATTTAAAATATTTTTTCGTCTATTATTTACAGGCTTTAAATTTTTTTAATTTTTTAGGCGTTAGAAGAACATACCTACGCGCTTAAAGCATGCAATTACGTAAATTTAATAAGTTTGACTACGTATTGTAGGACAAAAATGTATTCATCACTCAGAATGAGTAATTAAGAGTTGTGTATCGCCAGAAACGCAAAGTCAGCAATTTGTATTTAGAAAAACCCAAAATTAAGGGTTTTTAGGTGCCAAATTTAAAAATTAGGTGCTCTAAAATTTTTACCGTAACGAACTGTTGAAATTTGAGTTGCTAGCAAAACGTATCGCTAGCAACGCTGTGACGGTAATAGATACACGATAAATATTAATAGCAAGGAATTCAGGGCTAATTAGGTGCTGCAAGTATAGGCAATGACAAGGCGCCACTAATAAAAATAAAGTGGTTATTCAGAACAAAGCAGATGCAAAATCAAGTCTTTTTCTGAAAATTGTAAAACTATAGACATCCGGTACTTGCGTACGGGGGTAGAAGTGGATGGGAAGGAGGTGGGAGGAAGGGTAGGGTTCTGGGGTAGCCCCCCTTGCGGAAATGTATAGTTTGCGCAGCGACTTACATAGTCATCATAATATCATCATATCCGATCTTCCATAGCCAAACTGGATACAATACTACGCTGTTGGTCCTCATATCATACTTGTCGACTGGAGATTCTTATGCTTTCTTGTTGTACATTTTTTCGAAACAACAGATCGGTAGAATAGTACCAGAAGTTTGTAAGGAACTGATATATAAATTGAGGATTTTTGTAAAGGTAAGTTAAAAAACATTCATATATTTTTAACATTTTTTATTTTAGGTAACGAAAAATGGAATTAAAAACTTGAAAGAGTTTAAGATACATGCAGTGACCGACATAAATTAGTGTCCAAAGAAAACACGTTTGCAATTATATCTTGTATAATATGCTCCTCAGAAGGTTCCGGGATGATATCAGTGGATACAGTACTATAAGGCCTCATACCCACGAGACGGTTTTTCACCGTATCTAAGCCCAGCGTCAAACCGGGTCTATGTCCGGTCGTCAGTATTGTACGGGACACTATGAAGCCAATCACACGACGCCGGCGTTAGCGCCGACTCACCGCGCAGCCAGGCGCTGTGCTCGCCTCTATGGAACCGGGTCGTATACAAACCGTCTTGTGTGCAGGCTCGGACGGTTTTTACCCGGCGCAAAAAAAAACCGGGCCGTATTAACACCGTCTCGTAGGCAGGAGTTCTAACCCTGTCCGACAGTCGACTGACTCTGAACACTGCAGCTTGAACGGTATTTTCCTAAATGTGCATGAGTCAAAATATTATTAATGGAATATTTAGCCATAATTATGCTATGTTCGTTATTTAATGCACGTAACTCTGTTCCTACATACTGTCCATAAACATCAAATTCATCTCAGGACATCATTCTGTTTTTAACAGCATTCATAATTTCATAAGCCTCCTCCAATTTATTTTCATTAAGGAGGGTCCGCTTGCGAGTTGTCCTGGTGGAGTTGTAATGGTGTTGGTGCTGACTTTGTGGATTGCTGCAGTTGCTCAATAATGGACTGCGATTCTAGGTGATCAGGAGAGTGAAATTGCTGAGCGGTAGACTGAGACTCTAGAACGGCATCTTAATCTGGAAACGTATGAATCTTGTCTTGGCTTTGTGAGCTCTGAAAAATGAGAATTCAATAAATGAATATTATTTTATTATTATAAATATAGATGTTTGAAATAATACATAACATTTATTATTTCAAACATCTGTAAAACATGAATCCGCAAGTATTATAAAATAATTAATTTGGAATTATTCTCTTTCAGGTTCCAGCTAAAAGCTATGAAATATGGAACTTTCCGCATTGCGTTGCATCTACTCGTGGCCGATCGCAAAGGACTCGGTTGTCGACGATTCGAGCCGCTCTGCACTGGATGCGGTCAATTGGAAGGAGCTGGCACTGGGGAGCCCCAGCCCAGAGATGGGAACAGTATTCCATGTGAGGCCGAACCTGCGCCTTGTAAAGTTGCAGGCGTTGTGCCGGCATGAAATACTGTCCCACTCTGCTGAGCACGCCAAGCCTTTTAGAGGCTTACTTCTTTGATTCCCCAAATTTTCATATAGCCGGTAAACACGTTTTAATCAAGGCTCCTTCGAATACTAGAAGTGACTACTACATCTACAAATAACAATTTAGTATTGTCCTATTGGGCTATTCTGGGTGAAAATTGTAATTTTATCTATGCAAATTGTGATGCTAAAGGAAAATCTTCTGACAGTGGAGTATTCCAAGAAACTGCTTTTTATAAAGCTTTGGCGAATAACCAACTCAACTGGCCAAATCCAGACCCAATACGAGAAGATGGGCCAAAAATGCCTTACGTACTAGTAGGAGACAGCGCTTTTGCACTGACAGAAAACATAATGAAGCCATATCCCGGTAATTTCATCATAGAGACAACAAAGCGCATTTTCAACTATCGACTGTCAAGAGCTGGAAGAAGCTTCGAATGTTGAAAATGTGTTCGGAATCTTATGTGTTGTATTTCGTATATTCCGAACTCCCATAGCCCTCCAACCCTCTAATGCTGAAGTTGTTGTAATGGCGTGTGTATACCTACATAACTTTTTAAGGCGAAATAGTCAATCGAGATCACTGTACCTACACGCCACATGGAACCTTCGACTCTGAAAATATTGATCATGATATTGTGGAAGGATTTTGGCGCAAAGAAAACGGATCTCTTAATATGTTAAATTTAAATGGTATGTGAAGACGCTACAATCACTCTGCTATGGAAATAAGACGCAATTTTGCCGAATATTTTATCAGTGAAGAAGGAAGAGTTCCCTGGCAGAATAATTATTAAATAGATAAACGTGGTACAATATATAACAACACCAGTATGCATTGTTTTATAGTTTTTTGTAAAATTGTTAACAAAAATGACATTTTTCTTATAAAAAAGTCTAGTGAATTAAAAGTGTTTAATTTTTTGTGTGTTTGTTTTATAAATGGTAGAGCCATGCTGCAGCTATATTAGTAGTATAGTTGTAGCACGAATGGGTCGGCTCGACTGGGCAAGGACCATGCTCTCACAGAATACCAGCGTAAAATAGCAGCTTAAGACTGCTGTTTCGTATGCTGAGTGTACTGAACCTGTATCTTAGTCCTCACGGGTGACAACGCATCTGCATTTTGATCCTTTATTGAGGATAGATGTAGATGTCTATGGGTCACAGCAACCACTTACCATCAGCTGAACTATGTGCTCGTTCGTAACCCTACCCTATAAAAAAATGTACATAGCTAAGAACACTCACACACAACAATCAAGTCGCCTTACAAACAAAAAAAATTACATCCAAATCTATTCACCCACTTGGGTAAACAGATTTGGATTTGGCTACAATGCCACATATTTTGTGTACACAACCTTTATTGCTCGTGCTCATCCGCAGATAGACAGATGGACGGAAGGGCAGCGGAGATTTAGTAATAGAGTGTTATTTGTACCCTTTGGGTACGGAACCCTAACACATGTAAAATGATTTTAATACATTATCAAAACAAATAATTACATAATAATTAAAACATGACTTACATGTGTGTCCAAAGTATCCAAGACACCACAAGTTGTCGTTTATTTCAGCAAAAACTTCCTAGTCATACACAAACCATGCACTGGACTTCTCGTCCTCTCTTCCGCTACCAGTCGTTTTCGGAGATGTTATTTTCTTTCTTTCACGGATAAATTGCGAACGGAGGGTATGTACTTTGGTTTCAATTTCTTTTCTGGGTAATTTAAGCGCCTTAGCAATATCCTCCCACGAGTCATTTTTGCGTCACAACAAAAAATGACTCTGGTATAGCTCAAGAAGTAGAGGACAATTTCGTTTCCCCACACTACAGACATGTTGCAAGGCACGTTGTACATACGACGACACTCATTAACAAAATGACGCGAGACACATGCGCTCGCTCTCGGAACGGGAACAAGCAACATGTCCCACGTCACGTAAAATGTTGCAGGTCACTGTGCAACGTTGCAATGTCACATAGACTGAGTCTTCCGCGTCATGTTGCGGAGCAAAATGTCCCGTAGTGTGTTAGAGGCTGGAACAAGCAACATGTCCCGCGTCACGTAAAATGTTGCAGGTCACTGTGCAACGTTGCATCGTCACACAGATTGAGTGTTCCGCGCCATGTTGAGGGACAAAATGTCCCGTAGTGTGTTCGAGGCTGGAACAAGCAACATGTCCCGCGTCACGTTACTGTGCAACGTTGCATCGTCACACAGATTGAGTGTTCCGCGTCATGTTGCGGGACAAAATGTCCCATAGTGTGTTCGAGGCTGGAACAAGCAACATGTCCCGCGTCACGTAAAATGTTGCGGGTCACTGTGCGACTTTGCATCGTCACGTAGATTGAGTGTTCCGCGTCATGTTGCGGTACAAAATGTCTATTAATGTATCCCTGGCTTATGTTAGGCAATTTATACAAACCTGTAATCTCTAGTAGTCTCGCTTAACAATCTATCCGTTTCATCTAAAATCTTCTGTAGCTGCTGTTGGGCCAAAGCAATTACCGGGCATTTCTTATGTAGAATATTAGCTATTTCACTGTCAGGATCGAGGTCACAACTGCATCCAGCAGTCGCAAGTCTTGTATCATCTGGCTTTATATCATTTCTCGGAGAAGAATCCGCTACTTCAGATTCTGCCTCATCTCTTGGGCTTGCTGTGTAATTGTCTAAACAACCACTGCAATTGTTTTTGTAAGATTTCCTGCAATAACGGTAAATATTCTGAACTTGATATTCGTCGGATGACATTACTTAATCCGCACCATTTTTCGTATCAAAGTAAATTACAAAATAAAAAATCATTCTAATGACAGGGCAACAATATCAGCCATAATCTAAAAGATTGAGGCTGACAGGTGGCACAGAATGTTAAATGATTCTTTACTCTACATGTGCAGAAAAGAGTTCGTAAACAATTCTTTATTTTATTTTAAATTATAATTTAAACTTAATTTAAGTCACCATTTAAGCCCACCAGAAATTACAAAGTTGTATGATACCACTAGCCAAGTCGAGTTCAGTCAAGCGCGGACAAGGTGCAACTTGGTGCAACTAAACAGAGTTAAAAGAGTCAGTGTTTGTAATTGCACTGCAATCGTAAAAATATATGGCGGACCAGGGAAGATACGTTTAAAATTTGAACTATTGCACCGCGGCTTTTATCTAATACGAGGGTGACACTGAAAGTTCTTAGAAAATCAAAAACTGAACAAACTAGCAAGTTATTAGTTTTATTATATCTTTTCAAAATAGTGTCCATTTACATCAATACATCGCTGCATCCGATAGAACCACTGAGAAAAGCAATTTGCCCACTCGTCCTTAGGGGTCTCTTCGACGGCATTCTAAAACGCAGCCACTGCTTCCTCGGCGTCCATAAAACGTTTTCCTCGAAGTTTTTCTTTTATTTTCGAAAATAAATAAAAATCGCAAGGTGCGAGGTTGGGGCTATAGCGCGGGTAACCCAGTAATTCCACGTCTGACGTCGCCAAGTATTCGATTGTTTGCTTGGCGGTGTGCGACGAGACGTTGTCGTGGTGAAGGAGGATCATACTGCAAGGTCGTTTCTCCCGAATTTTTTCCAAGACAAGTGGCAAACAATTGTTAGTGTACTTCTAACTGTTTTTAGATCCTCTAAAACAATTGTTGCGTAATGACTTGTACTTCTTCTTTCCCACGCTTCAACCTCTCTTCATTTTAGTTGGCAACTCCTCGAAAGGAAACATCCAGACAGCAGACTGTCTCTTAGTTTCAGGATCATAACAATAAATCCAGCTTTCGTCACATGTCAAACACAGCATTTGAGTCACCTCCGTTAAATCTTTGAACCATTTCACGACACCAATCAACACGAAGGAATTTTTGGGCCTCTGCCAATTATGAGATATCCACCGGGCACAAAGCTTTCTGACCGCTAAATATTCTTGGAGGATTTTGTGCACTTGACTCATACCGATGCATAAGCTTGTCCGAATCTGCTGATAAGTCACACTTTTGTCAGTCTCTATCATACGCCGCACAACACTGCTGTTATCTTCAGTCGTCGCCGTAGAAGGCCGTCCCTCACGCAGATCATCGGTGAGATTAGTGCGACCACGTTTAAACTCATTAAACCGATTCTAAACAGTGGCACGAGATAGGGCTTCATCGTGAAAGGCCAATGGAAGTCTATCATAACTTTCGTGTTGACTTAAATGACATAGAAAGTCATAAAAATCATTGTACGAAAATTTTCTTTACAGACACAGACATATTTCAATTTGCCGCCAAATCGTAAACAAATGACAAATTAATAAAATACGTACACAATATCGTTTATAAGTAGCCAGTTCTAAAAACTTTCAGTGTCGCCCTCGTAAGCGATACATCCTAGCCAGCTATAAGGACCAGACGTCTTCTTAGGCGGTGGTCTCCTATAAAAGCCATCGGCCGCTTACAGCGTCACGCCGTACGCCGCGTTATGATGCTTACTATAGAAATGTACTGTTGTGGTCTCTTTCACACGCTGATGTCGGCGTATGGACGTCGTAGGCGGCGCTGCGTCTCTAGTTATTTGGAACTCTTTGGAACCATTGCAGCGTGAAGGTCGTGGCTAGCGTCAGTACAAAATGGCAAAATTTAATAAAGAAAAAGACAAGTTATTGATTGAGTCAATTAAATGTTATATTGCAATATACAATAAAAGTGACAAGGAACATAAAAATAATGTTTATTTCATTATCAATAGCTGGAAACATCCTTCTTCATTTCTCTTCATAAATAATCGGTGCCTTGTTGCCTTTATTTTTCATCGTATACGGTCTTCTTGTGCCTCTTCTTCAAGTAACACAAGGGCAACTAAAAGTGTTGAATTTATATCCATTTTATAAACAAATATCACACACGATCACACGCGAGCACTGTCGGCTACTTAACTGTTGTGTGATCGAAAGTCGAGACGTCGTCCGCTCCTAAGATATGTATTGACCGCTGACGCTGTGCCTGGCGTTCAGACGCCTATCGGAATGTTTACGCTGAAGTAGGACGTCGCGTATAGCATTTAATAGGAGACCGTAGCCTTAAAGGTTTATAGAAAAGAAAGAACTGACTACGCTACTCCTACATTCTTATTCTACTTCTTCAAAAGCGTTTTTAAGTGCATTGTATAGAAAAGTCAAAATAGTTCAATTCAAAATTGGCCTTTATAAAGCATTTTTTGAAAGTCGAGAAAGCTACGCCAACTGGAGAAGAAGTAGCAAGAAACTTAGAAGTAGGTATTTTTTATTTTTTTTATAGGAGAGGGGGCAAGCGAGCATGCGGCTCGCCTGAGGTTAAATGACTACTGCCGCCCATGAACAACTACAACACCAGGGGAACCAAGGGAATCGCAGATGCGTTGCCGGCCTTTTAAAAAGGGAGTAAGCTCTTTGTAGCTCCCTAGCTTCTTGAAGGTCCTTAAGTCGTATCGGTCCGGAAAAATCACTGGTGGTAATCGATTTCACAGGAAAGTTGTGCGAGGAGAAAGAGATGGTGTGGATGGTATCGGAAGTTCTGCCGCGATGTGCGTTTGTGAAATTTGGCGGCTGGGATTAATCCGAATAATTCCTCAGAGCACTCCCAGTGGTAAATGCGAAATAAATGCAAAGGGATGCAACATTTCATCGCAGCGCCAATGAATCTAGCCGATCGAAAAGGACTCGGTTGTCGACGATTCGAGCCGCTCTGCACTGGATGCGGCTAAACATAGGCCTTACTAATAGACTAGCTCTCAATGGGGATAGTTTCCACAATTGCGATGCTCGAGAGGTGGACTGGCAACCAGTTTTTATTACAATATTTTGGTTATATATATATATATATATATATATATATATATATATATATGTATGTATGTATGTGTATATATATATATATATATATATGTATGTATGTATGTATATATATATATATATATATATGTATGTGTAATGATAATGATGATATATATATATATATATATATTTATATATATATATACATACATACATACATATATATATACAGGGTATTTTTGGAACGCTCCCGAAAACTAAGACAGGCGACAGCACCAAGTATACCTTTGATCATGGGTCATAAATAAATTTGATCCTGATGAAAAAAAAAACATATTTTTACAACGTTTTATTAGCTTTATTCACGCGTCATCATGTTAGTACAGCTAAATGAAACGATAATTTCATAAAAAAAATCATGAAAAGACTGAAACATAAAACCAGCAGTGGAAACTGAATTGATATCACCTGACTAATGGAGGTTAATGTACGCGCGAACGGTGAAAAAAGAACGCTGGCCTTGAACTTGGGCACTGAGCGATTTATCACATATTGGCCAGTATTACTGTGCCTGCATGCTATTGGTTCCCGCGCTTTGTTCGCTCCAAAAATACAGTCGCATAAACAGCTTACTTTGCGACTCGCGACGATGTTTTAAAAAGGAAGGAAAAAAAATTATTTATATCTATTGTTTTATGACTAAACTAGTGAACGAAAAAGTGAATGGGGAAAATTGTGCAGTAAAGTTAAAATTGTTGAGGAAGAATACCGAAAAAATTACCATGTGATCGACCTGATGACGGAAGCTCAAGCGAAGATGAAAGTGATGATGAAGTAGCATCCAGTAACACCAACACACCATCAACATCTGGCTTCCATGAGACCCAAGACGTTATAATGGACGGCGTGTCACCCTTAGCTTAAGTTTTTTTGTTACAAACTACTTTATATTTTACGATAGAAATAACAAACAATGCTCAAGTAAACATTATCTATTTTTAATTCCCACCTCTTCCAAAGTTCTAAGTAGCTAGTAAAACACCTATTATGATTCTACAATAAAACAATTAATTACTATAATATTATAAAACAATAGCCCAATACCATGTAGTACTTTAGAACGCGACTGTACCCACACTCACTCCGCTGTCGACCTGTATCTAGCTCGGTATGAAACAATACTGCGGTCATAAGAAAAAAGGGCGCATCTAACAATTTTCGAATAAATGAGTTAAATATACCATTCGACTCATGATAAGAAGACGCATCTACTAAATTTTTTTAATATTCACTAATATCAATATTTTAGAAATTATCGTCAGAATTTTAGACGTAGCTGTTGATCACAGATGACATTTTATTAGTAGAAAAGACTTATACAAATTCAACATAAAAGAAAAGACTTATTTAACCAGTTGCTACGTCATCTTTAACAATATTTGCATCGATTACTTAAATTTAAATTATTCTTGTCTTATTATTTTATATCTTATTATTAAGAGCTTATATCTTATTATTAAGAGCTGGTGTTTCACATGTGGTCCCATATAAATTTGATCGAGGTCAGACCAATAGTTTTTGAGTTATCCTTAATTATTTATATTAAAGTCGGTTGTACAAATGTTTTAATTTTTAATTATTATCGTAGTAAGTCTTGTATGATATCCCCTTTAAAATCATTACTCAAGAGTTGCGGGTTGTTATTTTTTGTGTCGCACTACCAATGCTTTTCTAATATTTACTAAGAAAAAAGTAGTAAATTACTATTAGCGTCCTCTCAACTTCAAATGACCTTTCCAAAATATGTAAAAATGTTAAATGAATGGTAGTTTTGTTTTATTTATTAGGTTGGGAAGACCCAAATAGTTATATGCGTCTTTCCTTCGATGTTTTTGTGTTGCTAGGTGTATTTTTTAATCTAAGATGAAAAGGAAAATTCGTTTTATTTAAATAAATAAA